TCTGTTCAAGCCTTGCCCCAATTTTAATGGGTTATGATTTTCCTGAATTTTCGTGAGTTCTAAGCCATTGCCATGACAGTCCCTTATCGGAGGCATAGATGCAAAATTCCCCATTCTGTAGTTTCTTACTTTCATGACATTCTTTGGCTGTGCAGAAGCTTTGTTATTGATCATGTCCCATTAGATTTGTTGGTGCTTAATTGCCTTTGGGGACTCTTCATAAACCTTTGCCCACCAATTCTGAGAGTGTTTCCAACTTTTCTTCTAAGTCAATAGTTCATACCTTAGTTTAAGTCTGTTCCCACGTGAGTTGGTGTGAGCGTGAACTGTGGGTCCCTTTTAGCCTTCGCAGGTGGCTATCCAGTTTCCCAGCACCATTTATTGAAGGATCCTTCCATGCGTTTTTTTGCTGCTGTCAAAATATAGGCTATATGAATGGTTTATACCAGATTCTCACATCGGTCCATCGGTCAATATTCCTATTTTTGGCCAATACCATATTGATTTAATTACTACAGCTTGAATATAGTTGATATCTGCATATGAAATCCTCCCATTGTGTGCCAGAATGTCTTGAATATCAGGTCTCTTGGTCCATACGAAGAGAATTATTTTCTATATCTTGAAGAAGCTGATGGATTTTAATAGGTATTTGCATTGAATCGTAGACAGTTTGGGTATATAACATTTTGCATATATGATCGCGATCCAACGAGCATGGAATGGATTTCCATCAATTTACATCCTCGCATTTCCTTCCTCATGTTTCATAGTCTACCTGTAAGGTCTTTTACGTCCTTCCGTTAGTAGTATATTCCCAGGTACTTTAATTTCCTTGTTGCTATTGAAGGAAATTGATCTTGAATTGGTTCTCAATTGATTGTTGCGTATATATCCTGAGTATCTGTGATCGGAATTAGTGTATCTTGAACATACTAAATTCATGATCAGTTCCAGGATTTCTTTGTTTAATCTTGGTTATCTAGATACAATATCAACAGCAGAAACAAGTGAAAGTTTGATCCTTCTGCCCGATATGGATACTTTGATTCCATTATCGCTGTCTGATCGTAGCCAAGACATCCAGCATTATTCACAGAAGTGGATGATATGCAGCTTGTTGGTTCCAGTTTAAGTGGGAAGTTTTCAGTTTTTCCCCATTCATGTATGATGTGTTATGGTCGTCATATTGCTTGTACATTTTTAGTATGTCCCTTCTATGCCATTTTTAACTTCGTAATCATTAAAGTGTTTAATTTCAAAAGCTTTCTGGATTATTGAAAGAATCAATGGTTTTGTGCCTGTTTATGTGGAATTGCATTAAATTACATATGAACCACTGCATCCTGGGAATGACACTTGGTCGTGGTGGATTATTTTTGAAAGTGTCATGATTCGTCTAATTTTAAAAGTTTTGCATCTAATATACGTTAGGGATATTGGTCTGTATTTTCTTTTTGTGCATCCCTTTTCCCTGGGTTTGGGTACAGAAAATTTGCCCTAAGGTTATGCTTTATTGGTCCTGTAATCAAGCTCTCTTCTGGGCAACTCGTGGTAAGCTGCTCAGCGTTACAGGTAAGTCGTTCTCGGCACAGCAAAGCTTCAGCGGGCGATGGTCCGCTCAAGGCCAAATGTCCTGCGTGTGGGGGTGGACTGTCTGAGACCGCACAATCTAAGCGGGCCTGCTTCCTTCCACCCCCCCCAAACTCCCGCAGCTACTCTAGCCTCGCCAGCAACCAAGCACAAGCCAGCCCAGGCCCCAAACTGTGAGCCGGCGGAGAGTCCCTCACAGGAACACCCACCTGCTGGTCACACCCTCCTGGGAGAGGGTTGCCCTCTAGTGATGCATCCACTCCTGAGGCCACACACACCTCAGTAGGCTGTTCACAATAAACCTGTCTGCCCCGGCAATGCTACCCTCGTGCAGGGGATCTGGTCTGCACGTCGCCTCTGGTCCCAGAAGTCAATTTATCCCACCAGGGAGAGGATTCCGGTCCCAATTCACCCCACAGGAGCCCAAGCTGGTCTATGTCCTCAGCCTCTGAGTCGGCATTGTTCCTCTGGGAAACACCGTGCCAGCAGCACCTGGAGAGCTGGCGGTAGGGACTCACATCTAGCTCCTAAAGTCCGCTGTAGGTCCAAAAGAAGGTTCCGTCCGGATGTGCTCTGGGCTGTGGCGTTATTGTCTCTTGGGCACCACGTTAGGGTCGACGAAGGGAGAAGGAGCAATATGGCGGCCTGCTGTGCAGCCTCAGGGTCTGGCACACGGGCACCGAGGAGATGGGGAAGCCTGGTGTCGAGTCTGCTACAGGCTCCACCCGCTAGCTGGCGTGGCATCTCATGGCTGTGTCGCCAAGGTCTCTCCAGCCACGGGGAGCCCAACCACAGGTCCCCAGATGCAGGGGAGGGGAAACAGCAAATCCACCTACCCTCTGCCGCTGGTCTCCGGGCTGCTCTGGCCAGCCTCCAGTTCCCTCTGCAGCCTCGTCCCGTGGAGTCTCCGGGTCTCAGGTATCCTCCTCCCTGGCCTCGTCCGTTGTATGCCGCTTCCTGCTTCTACCCTCAAATTTCCGCTAGAATCTGTCTTTCTGCAGGACACTCTGTCTGGCGGTGTTATTCGTCCGCCATCTTGCTCCCACCCTATTTATTCTTTTATAGCTCCTATTGCTTTATTATTTTTTTTTTTGAGACAGAGTCTCGTTGTTGCCCAGGCTAGAGTGAGTGCCGTGGCGGTCAGCCTAGCTCACAGCAACCTCAAACTCCTGGGCTCAAGGGACCTCCTGCCTCAGCCTCCCAAGTAGCTGGGACTACACGGCATGTGCCACCATGCCCGCTAATTTTTGTAATATATTAGTGCCAATTTAATCTTCATTGATATAAAACAGGTCTCGCTCTTGCTCAGGCTGGTTTCGAACTCCTGACCTCGAGCAATCCGCCCGCCTCGGCCTCCCAGAGAGCTAGGATTACAGGCGTGAGCCACCGCGCCCGGCCGTATTGCTTTATTAATATTCTCATTTTGTTCATGTATCTTTATATTGATTTTGTTTAGTTGTCTTTTTGTGTTCTCTTTTAGCATATTTAGTATTTTTAAGACAATTATTTTAAATTCTTTCAAGCAACTCATATATTTGTGTTTCTTCACTTGATCCTAGCCAAGAGGCAAGACGCGATATACATGTCTCTTTTTTTAAGGTCAATTTATGGTACTTCATTTTGTTCCTTTTGTTGAAACATGTTTCCCTGTACCTTTGTATACCTTGTAATCTGTTTTGTTTGTTTGTTTTTTAGATTTGTGTATTTGAATAAACACATACCTCTCCCAGTCTTTATGGATTGGCTTTGTGCAGGGGAAAACCTACACCAATTAGTCCATTAGAGATTCTAATACCTCTCAAACCTTTTGGGAATTATGTCTGCTCTGGACTTGACTGTATTCTTTTAACTGTCTGTTTCAAATTCCCTAAGCAACTTGTCCCCACTTTATCTCAGAAGCTCATTATCTCTTGCTCCCTTGGTATCTGCCTGCAGAACTGAAGGTCTAATGTGCTAAAGTGCTTGCCTCTGTTTTCTGCAGGTTACAAACTATAATACCAGTTGTGTTAATGCTCTGAGTAAGGTAAGCCAGGAACCTATCCCTTTGTTAATGGAAACCCATCCCCCAGAAAAGTTAGAGTGTTGGATACACAGTACACTCTTTTGTTTTAATTCCATGAGAGGAGCCCTGGTATAGCATGTTTCCTCCTAAATGTGTCACACTATGCCAGGTATGGGGAGGGTCACAGACAGGTATGCAAATTGCTAAGAATTTTCCTACACTTTTCACTGGAATCCCTTCTTGGTTTTACACTGGTCTGATGCTGTAGCTTCTCAACTTGTATAGTTTGTATGTTGTTAACTTTATCTGTCTGTGGAGGAACAAGGGCCTAGATGGTGTTTCCTAGTCTGGTACCTTGATGTTACTCTCAAACTGCCTCTGTTTTGTTTCATGTCTCTTGAACTCAGAACTCTGCCCTTGCACACATACCAACCCCAACCTCCAAAATATTTACTCATACCAAACAGCTCATGAAATTTTGCAAAATAAATGAAAGATCTTGGAGTTAAATGGAAGGAGTTACATCAAGTACCTGGACAGCTTCTTGACTTGCAGTTTATCTGTTTTTATTCATCATCAACTCCCTACCTTTATGGAGCAACAAGATAAACCTTTCTTGATTTATGCCCACCCAGGCCCATGAAGGACTCATTACTTACCACGAGCATTTATCAAGATAGTTAGCTAAATAAATTGATTCAGCAAATATTTATTGAGTTTATTCTGTGTGCCAAGTTTTTGTTCAACGTTCTTTAGAAACACAAAATAAAACACCCAAATATTCTTACCATGTTGGATCTTATTTTCTAGTGGAAGACACATTCTACAAGTAATCAACATAAAAAAGAACTAAAATATATGGTGTACTACAAAATAAGTTACACTGAAAAGAAAAATAGAGTAGAGCCTGGGGGTGCTCATTTGAGCAAATACTTCACTATAAGGAAATATAGTCATGCCACTATATTGTAGAGTAGTATTCCTGTCAATGGAAATAGCTGAACAAATACCTAAAGTGGGAACAAGCCTAATATATTTGGGGATCTGGAAGGAAGCCAATATGGCTGCAGTGGAGTAAGAGAATGAGGCAATGAGGTAAGAGAGGTGACAAATAAATCCTGTTGGACCTTATAGACTGCTCTAAGAACTTTAGTTTTACTCTGAGTTTGATAAGAAATATGGAAGGGTTGTGTGCATAGAAGTGACATGAGATTTAAGCAGGCTCCCTCTGAAGGGTGTGTGGAAAAGAGACTGCCTGAGACAGCGCCAAAGCAGGGAAACCATTGAGGATGCTATCGTAATGGTCCACATGAGAGCAATGATGGTGGTTGTAACCAGAGTGATAACTACAGACGAGCCCTAGAGGCCGCCGCCCCCTGCCTGCGCCCGTGCCCCGGCTGCCACCATGGTCGTGCAGAACTTCCGGGACTACGTCGAGAAGCACTGCCCAAGAGAGCGCCGTGGTGCCGGTGGAGCTGCAGAAGCTGGCCCGGGGCAGCCTGGAGGGCGGCGGGCGGCAGCGGTCCCCACAGACCCCGCTGCTCCTGCTGGTAGACACCAACAACCGCCTGCACCGCCTCTACGGCGGCTTCTACACCGACTGGGTCAGTGGCGGCCAGTGGAACCACATGCTCGGCTACCTGGCAGCGCTGGCCAAGGCCTGCTTCGGCGGCAGCATCGAGCTCTTCGTCTTCTTCAATGGCGCGCTCAAGAAGGCCCAGCTACACGAGTGGGTCAAGCGGCAGGGCAACGAGCGCCAGATAGCTCAGCAGATCGTCAGCCATGTCCAGAACAAGGGCACCCCGCCGCCCACGGTCTGGTTCCTGCTGCCTGTCTGCATGGCCCACTGCATTCACCTGGCGCTCATCTGCTTCCACGTCAAGGTTGCACAGAGCATTGAGGATCACCATCAAGAAGTGATTGGTTACTGCAGAGAGAACGGTTTCCATGGCTTGGTTGCATATGACTCTGATTATGCACTGTGCAACATCCCCTACTACTTCAGTGCCCATGCCCTAAAACTGAGCCGGAACTGGAAAAGTCTCACAACAAGCCAATATCTGATGGATGAAGTTGCCAAGCAACTGGACCTGAATCCAAATCGTTTTCCTATTTTTGCTGCTCTATTAGGAAATCACATTCTACCTGATGAAGATCTGGCTTCCTTTTCTTGGAGTTTACTTGGTCCAGAACATCCACTAGCCTCACTAAAGGTCTGGGCCCACCAGCTGGTCTTGCCACCTTGCAATGTTGTGATCAAAGCTGTTGCTGACTACGTCCACAACATTCAGGACACCTCTCACTTGGATACCATAGCTAAAGATGTTTTCCAGCATTCACAGTCTAGAACAGATGACAAAGTTATTCGATTTAAGAGAGCAATTGGATATTATTCAGCGACTAGTAAGCCTATGTCATTTCATCCAACACATTACTTAGCCAGACCTGGTCCATTTGGAATGCCTGGGATAGTGCCACGGCACGTTTCTCCTCAGATGCTCAAGATTCCTCAGGCCTCTCTGTAAGCAAAGCCCATAGCCCCACAAGTGCCCAGCTCAGGGAGTGTCCCAGGCCAAGGACCATACCCATACAGCCTCACTGAGCCAGCTCTCACTTTGGACACGAGCGAGAAGAATTTAATGGAGCAGAACAACTACAGCAACATTCCTCACGAAGGGAAACACACACCACTGTATGAGCAGTCCTCGCCCATCAACTGAGCCCAGAGTGGCAGCCCCAGTCATATGGATTCTGCCTACTTTCCTGGCTCTTGTATATCGTCATCTTCAGACAACGATGAGGAAAGTGGAGGGGCAACAAATCATATCAGCGGGAACAAGATTGGCTGGGAGAAGACAGGAAGCCACTCAGAGCCTCAGGCACGGTGAGACCCAGGAGACCAAACAAAGGCAGAAGGTTCGTCCACTGCCTCTTCAGGAAGCCAACTAGCCAAAGGCAAGGGAAGCCAGATGGGCACTGTCCAGCCAATCCCGTGCCTGCTCTCGGTGCCCACCAGGAACCACATGGACATCACCACACCTCCCCTGCCCCCTGTTGCACCTAAGGTACTGAGAGTGGCTGAGCACAGGCAGAAGAAGGGGCTGATGTACCCTTACATCTTCCATGTCCTGAAGAAGGGTGAAATCAAAATTGCTGTTTCTATTGAAGATGAAGCCAACAAGGACCTGCCTCTGGCTGCTCTGCTCTATAGGCTAATTCGTCAGCATGTTTACGGACTCCTGTTTAGTTTGGCAGAAAGCCGAAAGAAAACAGAGAGACTTGCTTTTAGAAAGAACAGACCTAATGAGTGAGATGTGCACCGTCTGGGGGATGGTCATGCTGGAGACTCAGACTTGTGGGGGGAGGGAGGAAAGGGCATTTATTGAAACCTTAAAATCTGTACCCCCATCATATGCTGAAATAAAAAAAAATACATTTTCCATACGAAAAAAAAAAATAGACTTCCACCAGAATTCTCACCAGTGATCATTAAAGAATGGGCAGCTTACAAAGAGAAGTCTCCTCAAACTCCGGAACTGGTAGAAGCTCTTGCCTTCAGAGAGTGGATCTGCCCCAACCTGAAGAGGCTTTGGCTAGGCAAGGCAGTGGAGGACAAGAACTTCAGTATGAGAGCCTTCCTAGCCTGCATGAGGTCAGATACCCCTGCCATGCTCAACCCTGCCAACGTGCCCACTCACCTTGTGGTGCTCTGCTGCATCTTACGGTACATGGTGCAGTGGCCAGGAGCACGCATCCTGTGTCATCAGGAGCTGGATACCTTCCTGGCTCAAGCACTGTCCCCCAAACTCTATGAGCCTGATCAGCTACAGGAGCTCAAGATTGAGAACCTACACCCCCGGGGAATTCAGCTGTCAGCTCTCTTCAAGAGTGGAGTAGACATGGCATTGTTTGTAAATGATGCGTATGGACAGCCAATCCCCTGGGAACACTGTTGTCCTTGGATGTATTTTGATGGGAAGCTCTTCCAATCCAAACTCCTCAAAGCCAGCCGGGAAAAGACCTCACTCATTGACCTCTGTGATGGTCAGGCTGAGCAGGCTGCCAAAGTGGAGAAGATGTGCCAGGGTGTACTGGAGGGGCTCAACTTCTCCTGGCAGAGCCACACACTCCCTTTCCCGCCACCTCCCGCCCTGCCCTTCTACCCCGCCTCTGAATATACTCGGCACTTCAGGCCTGTCCCTCCCTCTCAGGGCAGGGGCAGAGGCTTTGCAGGAGTCTGTGGCTTTGGAGGCCCCTATGGGGAAATGGTAGCGACGGGCCCTTACCATGCCTTCTGGGTGCCGACAGCATCAGGACACTGCGGAGCCTTCTCAGGCAGTGACAGCAGCAGGACTAGCAAGTACCAGGGCGGAGTCCAGCCTATACATTCTCAGGGAGGGAAACTAGAAATAGCTGGCACTGTGGTTGGCCACTGGGTTGGGAGCAGATGGGGCCATGGGGGTCGGGGACCTTTCCCCTTGCAAGTGGTTTCTGTTGGAGGACCAGCAAGAGGGCATCCACGAGGAGTTATTTCTACCCCAGTCATTAGAACATTTGGAAGAGGTGGAAGATATTATGGCAGAGGTTACAAAAACCAATCAGCAATTCAGGACAGACCTTATGCTGCTTCAGCAGAAGAAGTGGCCAAAGAACTTAAGTTGAAATCTGGGGAATCGAAGTCCTCTGCTATGTCTTCAGACGGGTCTCTGGCTGAAAACGGAGTGATGGCCAAGGAGAAGCCAGCTCCCCAGATGAACGGGAGCGCCGGCAACGCCAGGGCCCTCAGCCACTCCGAAAGTGCCTTGAACAATGACTCTAAAACGTGCAATACAAATCCTCATTTAAATGCACTAAGTACAGACAGCACTTGCCACAGAGAGGCTGCTCTGGAGACAGCTGTCTTAAATAAAGAAGAGTAAACTCATTTTTTATAGAGGGTGAAGGATGCTGGAAGGGTAAGGATTTAGGAATATCTGGAGAGAAAGAGAGCCTACAGTTACGTACATTTTCTCCTTTCCGTAAGAGAAAAATGAGGACTTTGGAAATTCAGATTCCTCTTTGATATCAGAGATTTAAACAACACATTTTTAGTTTTAACCAGTTGTATAGTCAAAATGCTACAATAAAACAAAAAGAGAAAGAAAATAAAGAGCATTTGACTCCCGCACTTAAAATGAAGTATACAGAGTTTAAACTGGTTATGACAAAACCTATAGTTGTGTTTCTTGAACTATAAAGAAAACAAATTTTGGCAGTTTTTAAGTATATATAGCTTAAAATATAATTTTTAGCATTTGGCACCATATGTATGCCATGATATTTGATTTTGCATTACTGTTTCACAATGAAGCTTTGTTTAAGGTTTTGATTTTTATGATTATGAAAGAAATAAGGCACAACCACAGTTTTGCTTTCTTACTTAAATTTCATCACTGTTGATGTGGTTCTTTTGTGTTATAAAGGTGCAACTATCAAAACTAAAAAAATTATAGAGTAATATTGCTGTTCTGCTGGTTTTAAATATACAGTACATCATGCATACTTTACAAGCGAGTTAAATGGAGATAAAGTTGAAATCATAGAAGATGCAAATGACCTTTCAAAATCAACATAATGTGTTCTGAATTTTTTCTGACTAACGGGACTAATACCATGCATCTGTGATCAATGAACTATGTGGTTTTGAATCGGACGTAGACCATTAGTATTACTACTTGAGCTAAACTTCTGCATGGTTCATAATTTTTAAAGTGTGTAGTTAATATTATGCATGTTATTGTCCTACCTTCCATTCTTACCAGTATGTGCCCATTTGCAAAACAAAAATGCTAATAATCAGTAATAGTCCTATAAAAGATGTTAACCCTGTTTAGTCATTGACTGATCTTGCTATAACCTTAGAATTTTGTAATTATTGACATCTGTTGCATTTATTCTAAATCCCCCTCAAAATTATCTAGCCATTACAAATATCAACATTACCCTGGTGTATTCACTGCTGTATGCATTATTGTTCTTTGTTGCTGCTTTATGCCTTCATATTAGCAAAATATGAAATTCCGTGAAAAAAAAAACCCTTGATCTTTAAAAAAAAAAACACCCCTCCTTCTGTAGCAGGAAACAAAGTGGTTGTTCTTGAGAACTTTCGCATCAAGAATTTAGTAGAGGAAGCACTGGGGGTGGATCAAGATGGAAGACGAGAAACACCGCCAGACAGAGTGTCTCTGAAGAAAAGACAGATTCTAGCAGAAATTAGAAATAAGAAGCAAGAAGACGAGCATACAGCGGACGAGGACCGGAAGGAGGGGAACCTGAGACCATGAGAGACTCCACGGGAGCAGGCTGCGGAGGAGAACTGGAGGCTGAGACCGCCGGAGCAGCCCAGAGACCAGTGGGAAGGGTAGGTGGACTGCCGTTTCCCCTCCCCTGCATTTGGGACTGCTGGTGGGCTCCCCAGTGGGTGGAGAGACCTGCGGACACCAGCCCAGAGACCGCCGCCACCAGCTAGCAGTGAGCCTGTAGCAGACATGACACCAGGCTCCCAACTCCCTCCGGGCACCTCCGTGTGCACAGACCCGAGCTGCACAGCAGGCGCCATATTGCCTCCTTCTCCCCTCCGACGACTCTATCCGCGGCTGCCAAGAGAAACAATACAGCCTTCAGCCGGAGGCACCTACAGAGAACGGGACCTTCCCTTTTGGGACCCTACAGTTGACTAAGGGGAACTCACACTGTGAGCTCCCTATCCGCCAGCCCTCCCAGGTGCTGCTGGCACAGTGTTCCCAGGAGAACTGTGCCGACTAAGAGGCTGAGAGACATAGACCCAGCTTGGGCTCCCTGTGGGTGAATTGGGACTGCAACTCCTCTCCCTGGTGGGGATACAGTTTGAACCCTGGGACCCAGAGGTCGGAAGAGCAGACCAGATCCCATGCACCGAGGTATCGCATTGCCCGGTGCACAGAAGGGATATACCCGAATAGCCTACTGAGGTGTGTGTGCCTTCAGAGGCAGATCAGCGTCCTAGAGAGCAACCCTCCTCCCAAAAGGAGGCCGTACACCAAGTCCAGGTGATGTTTCTGCCTAGGGAACCTCTCCGCAGGCATCACAGTCCGGGGAGGCCTGGTGGCCTGTGGTCTAGCCTGCTAGCAGAGGCCGAGGAATAGCTGCGGAGTTGGGGAGGGTGGAAAGAAGCGAGGTCCGCTCCAGACTGTGGGTCCCAGACATCCCCACCACCACAAGCAGACTTTCTGGCTGAGCGGGACCATTCCAGCCCCACCCTGACAGCTTTTCCTGGAAGCAGAGAACAGAACTTTGACCCCTGCTAATGGCATTGGTGGTGCCTGAGGGCAGGCTTACCCAACCCAGCTCCACCCAGAACAAGAGCTGATAACAGGACACAAAAACAACAGCATAGCCTGTTCCTACAAGCAAGTGCCACCTACTGAAAGGGACGGCATCCTGCACAGCCTTTTGACGGCACCCACTGACTCATTCTACAGGGAGTGGTCCAATCTCACACACAGACACCACCTAACGGCTCAGAAACTAAACAAGGCGTGTGAATACCCAAACAAAAACCTAAAGGAAAGAAACAACAACTGATTGACATGGGAAGAATCAGCGAAGGAACTCAGGAAATAATGAAGAACCAAATGGAAACACACCCCAAGAGAGCACCAGCCACTTGAAGCAGGCACCAACCAAAATCAGCCACAAAAATGACAAGAAGAAGAATTTCGTATGTCGGATCAATAAGAACAACTCAACCGACCACTGCCAAACCAACAAAAACCAACACAAAGAAACACAAAAAGCCTCCAGAAGTAGAACAAATTTCACTAAAGAAATAGACAGCAATGAAGAAAAGTTTAACCGACCTCCTGGAAACGAAGATCAATCCAGGGAACTACAAAATTACAAGATGGAAAGTCCACCAACAGGTAAGGTCAAACAGTAAGAAAGAATGCAGATATTGAAGAATAACATCCTCGCAACTAATAAAACCCGTCACAGAGATAGAGCAGAGAAACAAAGAGAAAAGAAGCAAAGCTGCAAGATGTGGGATATGTAAAGAAACCTAATGTGAGGGTCGTAGGGTTTACCAGAAAGGGAAGAAGACATCACTGAAGGATTGGGACAAAGCTATTTGAAGATATAATAGAGGAAACTTCCCAGGCCTGTCTAAAAATTCAATATAGGCACAGTTCAAAAAGCTTCAGAGACCCCTGGGAGATTTTCAATGCAAACAGGAAATGACGTCACGACATGCAGTCATCAGACTGACCAAAATGTCAACTAGAAGAGGCCTCTAAGAGCTGTAAGGAAAGAAAAGAAGCAAGTAACAATACAAGGGAAACGCCAATTCGAATAACACCACACTTCTCTAATGAGAAATTTTTACAAACAAGGAGAGACTGGGGCCCCATTCTCACTCTTGCTGAAAAAACAAGGCCAGCCTACGAATCTATTCTGCAAACTCAAGCTTCATACTATGAAGGCAGAAATCAAAGACATTCTCAGAGCACAGCAAAGATCTCAAGAGAATTGCACCAAGACAAGACCGGCCCCTGACAGGAAGTACTCAAAACACGTGTTAACGTCACAGAACACAGAATAAATGAAGAAATCATGAATATAAAAACCAACAAACCCAAAGATTAAAGGCCAGATAATACATGCTCAAAGAAGATCAAAGCACAACAATGCAACGCAAAACAAAATGAACAGTAGATCTACCTTACCGGTATCATTTCTCTCAATAAATGTAAGGGCTTAAACTCTCCACTCAACGAGGCATAGGCTGGCTGAAATGGATAAAGAAAATCACCAGGCCAGACAGATAAGTGCTGTCCTCTCAAGGAAACAACATCTGAACCTTGCAAGGAGCATATACACTAAAAAAGTAAGGTAGAGATCAGTCATTCCACCAGTAGAGTCAAAAGAGGCTGGATTGGCAGTTTCTAATTTTTCAGACCAATTTAGTTTTTAAACCACAAAAGTAGTCAATGACAAAAGAGTTGTCCATTCAATATAATGGTGAAGGGCACAGTTAAACAAGAAGATACACCAATTTTAAAATATATAACTACCCCAAACACTGAGGTCGCCCCAGTTTCATAATGCCAACCTTACTTTGAGCTAAGCAAGATGGATTTAATGATGGCAACTCCATAATCACCGAGATTTTGAAGACACCCCAATGACGGCAA